CCCCCTGAGGATATAGGACTTTCTTGATGGTTTTGGGATCAGTCTCAAGAGGAGGACCCTTGAAATAGTCACCCCTGTATTAGAAAGGAGAGTTTGAATTAATTGTTTAATTGATTGATTACTTCAACAATTACAAAAACATTGTTATGGCTAAGAGTTCTTTTTGACTAAGACATTATTGTTTCTGTGGCAACTGCAGGAATGTGACTTCATTTAAAGCAACTAAATGCAGAGAGAAGAAGATCAAAAGTCACTACTGCTTTGAGTTCTTTGATGATCAACTCATTTTTTCTGACAGGTTTCACTTATTTAGCATGGTTATATGAGGGTAAACTAAAGAAAGAAACTCTGGACGGATGTGGTGACCTCCCTTGCTATTTTGTCTTTGCATCTGTTAGTAAGGCCCTGAATGGCTGAGGTGTGGTCATCCCTGCTGGCCTGTTCTCCATATTCATCAGGCTGATCTGTCGTGGGAACTGGTTCTGATGCAGAGTATGGCTGATCAATAGGATTCTTCCAAATCCAGAGTGTGGATTTTAGAAATCTACTCCACGGCCTTTTTCTTTTCTATTCCCCTAGCCATATAAGTGGAAGGTTTCAGTGCAATAACAGCTTTTCCACTGGGCATGGACATGACCAAAAGAAAAAGGCCTGAGCAGAGGAGTGTGTGGCTCTTTTGAGTGAGGAAAAGAGTAACAGAGGGTGTGAGTGGTGGCTTGTGATTCGCCTCAGGTTCCCCTTTGGTTCTTTAATATTCAAGCATGGGGGCTTTTATTTTATAAACCATAAAGAAATTTATAACACAATGTTTTTTCATCCATTATCTTTTTGTCATATCCCACATCAAACTCTTGTCATTATTCCCCATCCATATCCAATCATCTTTATGCTCTCTTCATATCTTTCTGCCTTAATCTATCTCTGTCTCTGTCTCTCTCTGTGTCCTTCTGTCTCTCTCTATCTCTCCCTCCATGACATCCTCCCTAGTACTTCTTACCTATTTTCCTTCCTTGTTAAGAGTGGATGCTGATCCATCCTCACAGCATGTCCTAAACTCTTACCTTGGCTCACAGGCACTCATGGAAATTCTACAAGACTGGGGTCTCTCTTATCATTATGTCCAAGTAGCACTGACCCCCAAATCAATGGGAACTCCTTCCAACAAACTGACTTTTCTTGCTTTAGGCAAAAATTTAGACAATAAAACAGGCTTTAATTTACCCACATGCTGTTGATCTCTCTCTTACTGAAGTAATCTATATTAGAGCTTATTCCCAGCTACCAACAACTGTATCAGACCCCTTGATATAGAGATATGTGTATGTATCTATGTAGAGATATGTATATATATCACTTAACAACTTCAGGGGAGTATATTCACATTGGAAGCAGTGAAATATTGTGCATTTTACCACGACTCAATCTGTTTCTCCTTCTGTACCTGCATGCATTCAAGAGAACGAAGGGAAAGAGGACATCACTTTACAAGGATCCTCAACGGTGAATGGTGTGTCCCCTTACAAAGCTTTATCTCTCCCAGTCTAATCTTTCCGTAAGCTGAACATTTTCCCTGATGAAGAATGTTTAGGGATGTGCTCCCTTAATTGAGAGAAGCCAACAGCACTATGTAGGATTTTGTGTGCACCCATGGTTAAAGGTTTGAAGTGGAGCTACACAGATTAAAACAAAAAATGTTTACTCTACAGAGTGCCAGGCTATTCATATATGTTTTGCTCTAACACCAAGACCACAAATAATATTGACATGATTTTGCAAGAGAGAAGGAGATGGGACCAGTTCCATAAAGACTGCTCTTCTCTCAGTGGTCAGAATTGATGTGATGTCCATTGCACTGTCAGGACACTGAGAAACACCTTAAGGATAATATTGTCTTCTCATTGTAGAAGAACAGTTACTCCAACAGTTCAGGATGCTGGAGTGGCTTCCCTTGGCTTCCAGCACCTCATTCTCCTGTGTAATGTGTATAATGCCATGCTTCATAGTCCAGTATGGTGTGATGCTAATGGATACCATGGGTGGTATCTGAAAGTTTGCCAACCCTCAAGTGGTGAACAGACAAAGCAGCCAAGGTTTTATAAGGACTTGGAATAAAATTCCTGATATTAATATCCCACAGGCATCTTCATCACTTGTCCCGCGCGCTGTATGTTCTCGCCGGCAAGAAATACACGCAGGACATTCGGATCCTTCTGCAGACAAGCTTTAATGCATCTTGAGAGAGAGAGAGCATCAGCTTACCAGAGCGGAGCCCCTGAACCAAGGACCCCATCCCTAAATAAAGGCTGGCAAGCAGCCGCCTGGGACGTGTCACCCTATGAATGGCTTCAGCTCCTCAGGGCAAATGAGCCACGGGATAGGCAGAGATCAAAGGAATGGAAATTACCCAGCGCTTGTGAAGTAATTTACATTTGGTGTCTTCAGCCACCATTATTGTAATGGAGAATGCAGGAACGGCTCCCTACAATCACTATAGACAGAAATCTACAGAGAATTATATGACTTTGTCCATCACCCGCATCAAGATATAGAGCAGTGGTCAGATAATAAAGACGCTGCTTACCCATTTTCTCTTTACAGGTAAAATACAATTTTACCTGTAAATAGGCTGTTCTTTAGCTTCTAGGACATGCTGATGTGATTTAACCATGCCAGAATTATGGCACACTGATGGGGAATGTACTACTGTGTATGTTTATCTTATTGATTATTGAATAAAATATTGTTTGGCCAATGAGACAGCAAGTTAGACAGAACTAGGAGTCAAAGAGGATTCTGGGAAATGTAGTAGAGAAGCTGATCCAAGCAGGAAGTGACATAGCAAGGAGACTCATATTTAAGTGAAAGAGAAACAGGAAGGGCCCTCTCTTTTCCCCTCGGCTCCTGCTCCAGTGGCACGATGTGATCCACCAGCTAGGAGGGATGCCAATAAGGCATCCGATAAGATAAATATTATAAAATATATAGATTTATGATAATTGAGACTGAGCTAACAGATGAAAATCCTAGTCATTGGCCAAGCAGCATTGTAACTAATACAAGTCTCTCTGTGTATTCATTTGGGCCTAACTTGGGCAGGCGGCTGTAGTAAAGCTCACATGTGTCAGTGGGGCTCAGCGGCATTTGGCAAAAAGATTTATAGTAACAGCACACAGGAAGGTAAGGGTCATATTCTGGCTGTGTTCTTGTGTCCTCCTTAGTGTTTCAAATTCTGAGTGAAAAGGCCACTTACAAAAATAATATAAACTAAAACTTCCCAATCATCCTCAGTATAGTAAAGTTCCCTCTAAAATACCTGCAATGTGTAAGATGCATTGTCACTGTTCCAGTCAGTGGCAATCTAGAATTGATGACAAATACAAACCAATTTTATCAAACAGAGTGGTGAGCACCCAGGGATGTTCACTACAGAATCAGGCCTCTACATTCCAACATTAGAATCCCACTGCTCTGACCACAGTGCTATCTGAGATAGGAGCCAGTTTGTTGCCAAAATGGAAGACTCCACACCCTCAGGATCCGCAGCAGGCCACTCAACTCTATCTTTAATCTGAAAACAAGAGATTGATTACTACTGCCAAAAGTAATTCAGGATCAGATGTATCAATAACTAAAGACATAAATTTAGATTTCATAGGAGAGATTAAAGCACCTACCCCAAAATCTATGGGGACCTCTTCCAACATATTGCCTTTCCTTGTTGTAGACAAAGCAAACTGGACTATCAAAGGGGCTGTGTTTACCCACATGCTGGTGATTTGTCTTCTATTGCCATAATCCATATTGTAGGTCAT